TTTCTTAGCAGTTCTCTCTCCTAACAGGGCAAAAAAAAAAAAGCCGCTGCTTAATCTGCATTCCGGCCACTTCAAAAAAAGAAGGCGGCAGTTTCAACCTCCTGCTAAACTTGCACATTTTGAAACTGAAACACTGACATGGCCACCACTTTCTCTTTTCTTGCCCATTTCATTTCAGACTAAAAAGGTGGCTCAGGAGCAGTTCCCCCCCCAAAAAAAGCAGTATTACCAAGTTGCTAACACATCCGAAATATGGAGTTTTGGGATTTGGATTCCCCTAGCCCCTATACATACAACATGCGAGGTTCGTCCTAATGTATCTGGCCTGCAACACTGTATAGAAACCGTAGAATGTTGTCCATTGGAGCCATAATGGCGTCTTCTGTGCTATGTATCCCCATGACCACGACCGCGGTGGTCATGTAGTGGTCATGACCGTCGCGGTCGCGGTCGAAATCTGCCCACTGCGCCAGGGGGGGCGGGGTCCTGCCAACAGGGGTTGGGATTCCGGCGGCGGGACCCAGGCTATGAATCCCCCCTGGAGGCGGCCATGCGCGGCCTAGGCCGCGACCCTGCGGCCATGAAAAAAGAAAACAAAAAAAAACAACTCAAAAAATTCTGAAAACAAAAAAATGTTATAAAAATATACTGAACAACTTTTGCCTTGTGGTCATTTCCAAAAACTTTACTGAAGTTAAAATTAAAAAAACACATAAGTTTCATAGTTTTTTTTTGAAAAAAAAATGAAACAGCTTTTGCCTCAGGAACATTAGTTTTTGAATTTTTAAAATTCGAAGAAGAAATTAAAAAATAAAATACAAAATTGTGCAATTTAGATCTCGAAAAGATCTACAACCCCATATATATATATATATATAGTTCTGTTTGTGACGATATATATATATATATATTTTCTTGAGGGCCGCACCCAACCGCGGCCAGAGCCGCGGCAGCCATGATCACGGCCGCCCTCTGAGTTTGACCCCGCGGCCGCAGCCGCGGGTGATAGGACCCAGGCCCCACCCCCCCACAATGAAAAAAAAAGAAAAAAAAAAAAGGGTCCAAATAGGGGGGTTTTAGAGGGATGAGAAAAAAATCATGGACCCTCTTTTTTTTTTTTTTTACTTTATATTTATTCTTTTGATTGAAAAACCCAGTTTTTTTTTTTGGATTGATTGATTGATTGATTGGTTGGTTGATTGGTTGATTGGTTGATTGATTCAATTAGATTGGTTGATTTTTTTTTTTTGAATTGATTGATTGATTGATTGGTTGATTGATTGGTGGGGGAGGGGTCGCCCTGCACATGCGCACACACACACACACACACACGAACCTGCTGTTTATATTTTTTTCCTTTTCCTTTTTTTGATTGATTGATTGATTGATTGGTGGGGAAGGTGTCGCCCTTCTTCCCCCCCCCCCCCCCCCCCCCCCCACACACACACACACACACACACACACACACACACACACACACAAACTCTTATTTTTTTTTTTTTTCGTTCGTTTCTTTTATTTCTCGTACTTTCTTTTTCCTTCCCCCCCACACACACAGACACACACACACACACAGACACAGAAAAGACAAATCCCCTTTTTATTAGGTTTCTTTTGATTAAAATACTTGTTTTTTCGTTCAACTGCCCGGGCCATCGCTGCAGGACGGGTTCCCGACAGCAATCCGAGTTTGCCCCCGAGGTCATGACCTGGGGGGATTCACAGCTTCTACCCACTGTGTCACCGACCCCGCGGTCATGACCTCGGGGGATTCACAGCTTCTACCCACTGTGTCACGGATGTTTCCTCCGTGATGGTGCCAGCGTGCGTGTGATCTGAAGGGTGGTCGTTCCAACTCTGCACGTGCATGGACCAGGCAATCTCTAACGTGCCGGCTTTCCATGATGACAGTGTGAAGCAGAACGCCATGGGGGGAATAGGTGTTTTTTGTTTTTTAAGTTTTAACTTTTTTTTGTTTTTGGTTTTTTTTGTTTGTTTCCCCCTATATTTCATCTCAAATGAAGAGTGATGTCCCTGCTTGCTTGCTTGCTTGCCGAACATGATGGTGAGCAACTGCCCAGTCCAGGATGCATGCTTTCATGAAATGGAATTGGGCCAATCTTCTTTATAACTATAACTGAGGCACCAGTTAATTTGGACACGTGGCCAATGACTCTATGACTCAGAGTCTGTTTGGGTGAAGGTGGCAGGAATGGCATGTGCCATAATGTGGGTTGTTGCCTTTGTTCTTTCATCAATCTGTGTGTATGTGTGTGTGTCTGTGTGTGTGTGCGTGTGTGTGTGTGTGTGTGTGTGCACAAGTGCCTCATGCCATAGGAAAAGTCTATTCTATGAAGGCAGTAGAGGTTTCTTCAATAGTGATTGGGACTATGAATCTGTGACCGTGGTCGCCGGCAGTGACAGGGAGGTTCCCGTCATGACTGGGCCGGTCGGCAACGTGGTCGCCCATGGGGGGGGGGGTCCGTGGAAGTTGGGGATT